CCCTTAGGTCAGCAGGGCCGCCTGTCAGCTGTCTCCCTGATTCCCCTGAGGAGATGGAGCTGGCGGCTCCGAGCCGGCTGGGTCTTCTTATCCCCCGGGGAGGGATGGGGCTGTCCAGGAAGGGCGGCTTCTCTGGGGGTGAAAAAATGCAGGGCCGGTGGGAGAGGCCGACCGTGAGTGGTGCTGTTGGAAGAGCGCTAGGCCCCCTGTGATAGCCGCTGAGGTGGGGAGCTCGGGGGAAGCCAAACTTGCGAGCTCTCAGAAGTGAGCTTAAGAAGCCTCAGCTCATGAGTGGAAAAATGGGAAGTCACTGGAGGGAGTTTGGTGGTGGGGGAGAGATTGATGGGTATGAGGTGAGAAACGTGCCCTTCACTGTATCTGGATAAGCTTGGGGCGTGGCGAAGGAAGGTTGGCTGGAAGTTCATGATGGCCTAAACAAGACTTGCATAGACAAAGTATAGGTGAGCACTTTTGAAAAATTTTGGTGGGTTTTTTTTGCATTTATGCTGCAGATTTATGATTACTTTAAATTCACTGAGCTGACAGAAAAAAAAAATTCTGCCTGTTTCATGCTATGTGGTAGGTTAGATAAGGGGACCTAAAACCAGCCTTGTGAGCCGGTTAGTCTCATCTGAGAACAGCTCCCATGTCTGGTTCACCGATGGCCACACAAATCTTTGTGTTGGCACTATGGCAGGAACCGGAGCAGGAGTGGGTGTAAGCAAGTAGGGGAGAGTGGGACTGCAGTTTTCTCCAGCAGCGTTAGTTCGTACCTGCCTCAACTGTGTGTTCATCTAGTGAATTCATATTCAGCACTGAAGCTTTATGTTGAAAACATCTGGAGGCTGCAACAAGTGCAGTCTGTTGCGCTAGGCACTGCATTTGCTTGGACACTCACAAAGGTGGTATGATGGAAGAAAGAGCAGACAACTGGGAGCACATAGATGGAAGGATGAGTGGCATTTTTTTGTGACAGTAAGTCTCTTTGCACAATCTATCTGGGGCTTTTGCAAAGGCAGGCAGTGGAAAACTCATAATCTTTATATGTTGTATATAAAGGAAACAAGATAAAATGATAACCGTTTCTTTTTTTCTTTTCTTTGTGCTGCAAAAAAAACAGTGGCCAAGAGCAAATCTAAGTAAGTGATGTTTTCTTCACCAGTTTTTGATTTCTGCCTCCACCCTGTACCTTCAAGTGACTTTACAAAATATTAGGTTTCTCTAGAATTTTTTATTATACCTGAGAGAATTGCATTCCTTGAGTTTAGCTGCGTCCTCTCTGTCCTGCGTGTGTGTCTTTTCACAGGTAAGTACAAAATGGTGTGAACCCCCCACCCTAGGTTCTAAAATTGCAGCAAAAGCAGGCTTTGTCCAATGAACTGTTGCATTGAGCTGAGCTGTAATGTCCAAAGTGCAGGGGAAGCAAACTTCTGTGCTTTATGATTAAAGGGAGGCTATAAATTATCCACATAATCTTCCTCTTGTTTACCTTTCATACTTTTTAGCTGAGGAGGGCAAGCTGAGGTACAGCATGGTCTGTGTTGTTTGTAGGCTGGACTTTGGGCAGGTGCCGTGAACCTTTCTCGTAGGCAGGGTGCAGAACACTTCCCAGTTTTAGCACGTTCATATGTTTATACATGAGGAGTGGACGGGGTGCAGTCAGTGCTCTGGGCATCTTGGTTTGCTCTGTAGTCTAGCTCAGGAGAAATGTTAGTGGGCTCTGGAAGAAAATTAGTCACAGTCGTTTGACCTGTAAAGACAGCTGATGCCTTTTAAGGGTTGGAAAGGAACGAATATATACTTTCATCACACCTGTAGTCTTACAGTGTGGATGCAAGGAGACAGGATCATGTGGAGTGAATGACTTGCATCCAAAATGCTATTAGTAAGAAAATGAGCTAGACAAATCCAAGGGGCTAAACTGATACATTTATGTGTGAATACATTCCTGTGTCCTGAGTCTCAGAAGTTGTATTCTGTGCGAGTGTATTATGTTTGGTACTGCAAAACCTTGGGAACTATGGCCTTTGGTACATTCTCTGATTTTTTTTTTATTTTTTTTTTTAAGAATCGGCCCCCAACGCCAGTACCAACCACTTCCTGGGTTTGAAGAGATTCTTCTGTTACAGGATTTCTGTGCAATTGTCAGGGTTTTAAATTAAGAAAGCACTTCCCAAGTATGTGCCTGACAGGGAATTGAGCAGTTTGACATCGCAGCATTCTACTGTTATCTGTTCACAGAAACAAACACAGCAAAGCAGGCTGTTTCTACAAGGTGAAAAAGTAGCTTTTTTAAGCTTCAGGAATATCTTGTCTCCTTATATTATTTATCCTTCTGTACTCCCCTTGGGTTTTTTCCCTGTGTCTCAATAGCTTTCCACTGTTCTTTTCTGCCTCTGCTCCTAGTTACATTTCTTCATTGGGCATCAAGTTTTTTGAACAAGGTGTATTGTTCAGAAAGGGCTTGGCCTCAGATATGTGGTGCACAAGAATTTCAAGGCCTGGTCATACTGATACCACCGATTCCCCCAGAAAGGGGAAACTGCACAGAGGCTTTGAGGAAGTGGGTGAGGTATAGGGGAAGGAGTCTGTGTGGTTACTGGTGCTACACATCACACCTGCAGTAGTGTACAGGAGAGGACTATAATTGGGGAGAATCCCTAGACTATGCTTGGTCAGTTGGTCTGCAGGAATCCAGTGTTTTTCTGTTTATTTTGAACTCGACAGTAAATTAGATTGCAAAACTGAAAAGGGAGAGCTCAAGGAAGTACACTGGTCAGAGCTGCACAAGTGAGGAAGAATGGATATCTTGTCAAGGTTAATTTTGACAGACCATTTTGTATTAGAAGGAGGAAAATTCAGGAAGATTAATTGAATGCCCATGTGCAGAGCTGTATTGCCATGGAAGAAAAAGACGTAATTTACAGACTGGTTAAAGGGTTTGACCTTTCTTTTGAAATTAAAGAAGCTGCCCTGTGTCCAGGCAGTGGTACAGCTCTCGGTGTACTTCCAGGGTGGGGGCGTGGCGGGGGGCTTTTTCGTGCTCCGTTTTTGGGGGCCGCCGCGCCCCCCTGCCAGTCCGCCCCACAAACCGAGAGCCCTCCAGGGGGGAAGGGGGTTCCTGTGGCTGGGGTAACGTCAAGCCCTGTATCTCTAGCGGGATGGACAGTGCCAAGGGGTCCTGCTTCTCCTTTTGCATGCCTCTTGTTCCATCCTATCTGCTCGGGTTCCTCTCTGCATGTGGAAGTGATAGTCTGCAATACAGTGTTATCTACAGCCCGAACATCTTTAACTACCATCATCCTTCCTCTCTTGCCGTTATCTTTTAAGCCATAGTGACTTGATTGTATGCTGATTTTTTTCTTTTTCCTTTTTTTCTTTCTGCCTTTCCTGTTTTTCTTCCTCCCCGCTCACTGCTTTATGGAGGAGCAACTTTTCTCTCAGCTTGTATTCTGTTCAGGAGTTATTTACTTAACCTTGATGCTGGAGCTTATGGTTTATAGCGGGCTCTTTGTCTGTGTTACAAGTTTCACATACAGTATTGACACTCCCATCCAGAATGTCCATGAAGTTGAAACGAAGTATCTTATGCGATAGTGCCAAATTGTTTATACTAAAAGCTTGTCCATTTGACCGTGCCCTGGCAGACATGTGGTGGGCCGTTGCTGTGTGCCTGTGCACTGACACAGAGACATTCCTTGTGGCTTTAGATACGTTCTGGTGAGGATGAAAAGTGCGGCCGAGACGGGCTACTGTTTCAACATCAGGAGACTCCGACTGCAGGAAAAACTGGTCCTGCTGAGATATGATCCCATCGGTAAGAGCTTGGGGAAGAAGTCAGCCTGCTTTGTATAAGCCTCTCTGACTGTGTGGGGCAAAAGATTTGAATATAACAGGATTTTTCCCATCTAAGCAGAATATGACATAACATAGTTCAAACTCAGATGACTGTACAGTTGCTGTTCTGCATGACATTCCAGTGGGAAGTAAATGTTACCCTCATTTTACAGATTGTGGCAGTGAAACAAAGTAATGACTTGCCCGACGCATGGGAGTCTTTGATGACAGCCATGCCACATGTCAGTGGCAAAGCAAAGAGACACAGGAGTTCTTTCATTCTGTTTCTTTGTGTGGTTTGCTAGACTGTGCTACCTCCAAGAAGCACCCACAAAGTATGCATCAATAGAAATGTTCTGTTAAGCTGCCATGGGTGCTCTAGACAATAAATTTTAACCATCACTTACAAAATGGATCTTTTCTTTTAAAGAAGTAAACACAAGTTTTTGTGTTTTTCCTCTTCCAAAAATGATAGTGCTCTCCACATGACAGTTTGTGGGGTCCTTTATGTTCTTCTGGTCCTTGCAAAGTTTCTCAGTCTAAGAATCTGATTTGTTGGGAGGTTATAGCACTTGCCAAGCTGCCTTTTGCTCACCCAGCTTTTTGAAAGGTGACTAAGAGCTCAAGTTTCTGGGGAAGGAACCAGTCTGTAGTTAGCAGTAAAAAGCTTAACTTAACATTAAAAAGATTAATTTGGGGAAGCTTAGAATGTAAACCAGACCATGCTAGAAATAGCATGGCGGAGTTAATGCAAAAAAGGCTTATTTAAATCTATCAAATGAAGCAATGTATGAAGCAGCTCGAAGTAGATAACATAATGCGTGGCCGGTAGTTATGTGGTTCAAGCTTATGTTTTCTTATAATTTTATGTTCTTGTTAGATGACTGACCTTTTCATGCTCAGGTCTAACAGTACAGGAGCTTTATGGCAGGTGAGAGGAACCACCAGAGAAGCAGTATGCTCTCATCAAAGTGCTCCTGCTGGCGGAGGTTGTGGCTCTCCTTCTGAATTCTATACAGAAGGGGAATCAGAGATCACTGGGATTATTTTCTTGAGTACGAAAACTTGAAATTACTGCATCGAAACATTGTGCAAAGTGATCCTTCAGAAGCTTCACAACTTGTAGGAAATGTGAAGAGTGGAGAGCTCAGGCTGAGTAGCGCTTCTGTTCCAGAACGTGTAGTAGGTTGTTGAAGTACGAAATTGGAAGTAATTAAGAAAAAAAGCTCTGATCTTTGTAGCCTGTAGTAGAACACAAGTGAGAAATTGATGTGAGAAAGTGCTGCATGTGTGAAGGAAGTAAATTTGAGTCTAGATACCAACTCACATCAGGAGTATGTTAGGAAGCATTTTCGCTTGGCATGCATTTTCACCTTATGTTTTGTACTTCTCAAAAACCTGGGACCTCCACAGAACGAAGCCTTTTAGTGAAGTAGTGGCAGTAGTGCCCAAGTTTCACTACCTCCTAACTGCAGCAACAGAATGTGTTACTAAGTTGCAGTATTTCTTAAAGTGAAACTTTTATGTGGAAGAAGAGGTTTTGTTATTGTGTGGATTGCTCTTGCGTAGCTTTCAAAGGAATTCGTGTAATGAAGTTGAATTGGAACAGTGGTGCTTTTCAAATGGCATTGTAAAGCTTTGCTTTGATTTATTTAAATTTTTTATTTTTTTTTTTTTTACTAATGCATTGACTGTGCTTAACCTGTAGCTGAACTGACTTTGCTAACATCTGCATCGGGTGTTGGAGGTAGGGTCAGTTTGTGCCTCATTGAGAGATCCACTTGGTTAACTTTTCAGGCAGTCTGGGAGTCCGACTAGATCCAGCTCATACTCTGTAGTTTGTTTGGGCTCTGAAGCTGAAGAGTAGTAGAAAGCAGTAAGAACCTATTTTTGTCCCTACATGGAGCAGCTGTGACTCAGAATAGTCACACAGAGCAGCTGTTGCATGTTTTCAGTCACTCAGATCTTGATACTTATTTTCACAGAGGTAAAATGGACCTCTTAGGAACTAAAAATGACATGTGGTAAAGTGAAAGCACTACTCAACTCCTTTAGGAGTTGGTTAACAGCAGCGCTGTGCCAGGCAGTTGCTCCACACTCATTTAAGCAGCGAAGGCAGCCAGGAGAAAGGGATGTAGGCTCGTTGCATTGAATTTTAACACTTCAGGCTTCTTAACAGATTCTTTTTTTTCCCTATAGCAAAACAACGTGTCCTCTTCACAGAGAAGAGAAAAATCCGCTCTATCTGAACAATGTCTGCACTTGATTGATGCATGAGGAGAGGATGGTTTGGGGGGAGGACAGGGTGAACGCCGATTCAGAAATCCAGCAACATGGGCTGAAAAGAGAGGAAATGAACTGGGATCACCGTCTCCTGTGATTTGAAGGCCATTGTGAATAAAACAATGTAGAGAGAGAAAATTCCTAATGTCTGGACATAGATCATCAGAGTAACATTTATTTATCTTTTGGGTTATTTTTACAGTACTCAATTAAAAAAAAATTAAATAGCAAATCCCATTGTCTGTGTTTTCCATTGTGAAAGAGGCTGTAATCTTCAAAGCAACTATTGTTTTATAAGGCAATAAAAATTAACATTTTCCACAGCAGG